AGTCGATACTGAATCGTAACAACGATGACGTTACGAGAAATAAAATTTTTTATGATATACTTATAATCGTACGCTAGAGCAGTTCCTGTTTCATACCCACCACCGTGAATCCAAACCATTACTGCATAAGTTTCGGTACTCTAAACTTTTTTTTAATTTTCTCATTATATACTCGAGAGCTAAAATATGCTGTTAGATGCAGGCAGCAAAGTGCAAAGAAAGGCTGCGCAATATTACGGTGAGTAAAAGAAAAGTTAGAAATTTTGCCTGATAACGAACAAAAGTTTTCTTGTGCAATTTGCAAATTATCATCGCTAAAGCTAGACTTTTTAAAGGTGTCTAAGCTGCAGAGACAATTTTGTCACTTTAATTTGACAGATAGAAGTGCTTCAAACCTCTCCTGCAGGAGTAATAACGTTCAAGTATAGGCAGTCCTCGCTGTACAAACTAGTACTTGTTTGAATACCAAGGCGATGATGAGGATAGCAAATACTACCATACTTTGATGCTTCAATTGGCGTTGTCCAATTGTCAGGTCTTATCGGCTTCTGAAAGCCAGTACAATGACGACCTACACCGGCTATTTAATTTTCAAACATAGTGTTAAATCACGTTTTCAGATAAAGTTATTTAAGAACCGTACAGTATTGAGCATCTTTTATTAAACATTTTGAACAGCATACATACCTCAAAGCGTAGCTGGCCAACTGGAGGTTTTGCAAATGGAATACCCAAAAAAACTGTACCGCTAGTTTCATTCTCTATTTCATGTAGAAATCCATGAACTGGCCCATAGTTTGTGTTAACACTTAATTTAGCTGAATAAATGCAGCTAAAAATACCGGTTAAGCAAAAAACCAAAAAATAAATAGGCATCCTGAAAGAGGTTGAATTTTAACAAATGAAAAAAAAATTTTTCACTGAATAAACTATAAAATAAATAAACCAATCTGTGAAAGTTAAAGAAATAAAAATGAAACCAGAAAATTTAGACTAAAAATATGGCTAAACAAAATTTTGAAGAAATTTAAAATTATATTTCTGCATTATGAAGTTTTTTATTTGTACTCTATGTGAGTCGTTTTCAGAAAAGCTTAGAAAGCTTTTGTAACGTAAGTTATTCTGCAGATAAAAATATGCCAACAAATACAGAGTTTTAACAAGGTCCACAAAAAGTATTTTGTAGCACAAAGTCAACAGACAGTAAAAAAGTTCAAAATAAACCCACATTAGCCAAAAAAAAAAAAACAGTAAAATGTTTAATCTGGCTAAAAAAAAATTTTTTTTGAAGATATTTTGAAACCATATTGTCTAAAAATGCTTCTTAAAAAATTTTTTGTCATGAATGCATTGCAAATTCCTTTTTCGTCAACTGATTGCATAATAACTATAAAATTATGTAAAAAAACAAAACCGATTGTTCTTTACTTTTTTTTTCAATTATTCAACTTTTCTCATTTCTTTGAAACAGCTAATCATTGCCACATGACCAGCAATAAAACTCGACAAAAAGAAAAACAGCTGGTAAACTGCACTTAAAAACTGTAAAATTTTTCAAAGGTAAACAGCAGAAAATTTTCTTATAATTGACGAGTAGTAAATTCACCACAGTTGCACACCTTTATATTGCAAACAACAATCAGACAAAAGATTAATCAAAAATTGAATTTTGTTCTTTGCTTCCGACTAAATAAACATGAATAAATATACATAGCAGTTCACTTTCAGAATACAAGTTATCCCAAAACAGAGAGTTTTCGGCCGTTAATAGGAAGGCCAAGAATTTTGAGTTGACCTGATTGTGCCGTTGACTAGATGGTGAATTAGTGACTGGTAAGTATTCAAGCGAAAAATCTGTACGCTTTTACAACAAAAGCTTTTCATTATTTACAGTGTAAATAAAGCTGTCACGTAACCAGTAACTTTTATCTAAACAAGCCACAAAAACTCCAAACTAGACCTTGTAATCTGTGTTCAACACAACGTTTTTTTTTTTTGAATTCTTCGTCTCTTCATTATACACCAGCAATAAATCTATCTTTGGTAATCGTTGCAGCTTTGAACTGATTAAATGATCAAGTATAAAGTTCCGATATCTGTTCAAAACCGCATTTAAAATTTGCCTTGTTTTTTGGAACTGCAAAACTATTAAGCCTATCTGAAGACTTTGTACTCTTATATTTATTTTTTCCCCATCATCAAGCATTTGTTTTTGTCAACGTCAAAAGCACCATATCAACGTCGACCTAATGTCAACAGTTGTTTTTTTTATTCACTAATCTACCAATTACATCTCAACCTTATGTTAATTTAATAAAAATATATCTAATCGAGATGCTCTTCTTTCAAAGAAAAAAGTAGCTCACATACATATAAAATGATATTCCAAAAAATTTCAAAAACTTTTGTTTGCGGCTAACTTTTTCGCTAAGCAATTGTTATCTATCTACTATTAAAGATGCGATTATTGCTGAGAAGATTCAAAACTGCCAAAAAATTTTTTATTTGTTTATACAGCTAAGCAGTTTACAAAAAGAAAAAAAAAAGAATGATTTTTAAACAACATGTGGTTACTAATTTTCCTCTAAAGGTTTTTCTCTTCTTGTAACATTTCTGAAATCCGAATGCTTTTCCTCAACGAAATTGCTAAATGCTACAAAAAAAAACTCTTCGAACAACTGTAACAGATTATTAAGAAAAGGTGGATTAGACAATGTCAACTGAGACTAATATTTTTATATATGTAAATTACGACTAAAAAGCTATATCATTTGAAAAATTTTCTGAAGAACAAAAAATAGCGATAAGAAACAGTTAAAAAAACTTGAACGAACTAAATTTATAGTGAGTAATCAATGGAGCACAAAAAGAAATTGGTGGATATTTTGGCATTACTGCAGTACAATTTATAACGCAGTAAACTTTCGACTATCGGCAAGATTAAAAATTGATAAAAAAAGAAGATCTATAATACTAGAGCAATTTTTTCAATACTTCAGCACCTAACAATGCAGATTAGTGCGATAGAAGCAGTTCGGTTTCTCAAAATAAAGTGATAAAGTAAAACGTAAAAAAAAAACAAAAGCAGAGCAAATTTTATTCTTTTAAAAAAAGTAGAAGAATTTGCTACACAAATTTATAGATGCATAGTCAAAACGTATAAAAAATACTAGCGACCATGACCACCAAAATTATGCGAAACAACTACAGAGGCTACTAAGGTGCAATCAGTCACGCCATGTCCTCCCGCTGCTTTTTATGTAACATTTAAAAGAAATAAATTACCTTCTAATTGTCTTGCTAACATTTTTAACTTTTCTTTAATATGTTTTTTGTCTTTATGGTAAACATGAGTCGCTATAAGTTTTTTAACAAACTTGATTTTATTCTTGCTCTACGATTTATCTTGCTTGTGTTTTAGATCATAAAAAGCAGCATCTGCGACACCAGCGGTTTCTTCGCTCGACTTTTATTAGTTGCGGTATCCTTCACCGACATAATTTTGCTTTAAAAAAAAATAAAAAACTGACAATTTTCATAACTTTTCTTTTTTGAAAGTGAACATATTATAACTGCAGAAAATGCTTTCAGATTTTGTAGAAGAGTGTGGTAATGATTAGACTGAGCAAATGCAGTTACCATTTACAAACTTATAATGTTTATTCTTATATGTAACTTCAAAAACGTAGCAAAATATTAATTAATCAATATTTTTATGAGATTTTTTATTGTAACATTTGTAGAATATTATTTTTTTGTAAAAAAAAAAGTTTGATAACTGCCTATGTAGCAAAGTAAAGTGCTCGTCAGACTTTTAAAGAGGTTTAATACAATAAATTTTATTCTCTTATACTCAACATTTTCTGTTAAAAAAAACTGTCAACACTGTTGTATTGTGTAGTTATATTACTCTGCCTATAGTACTCCGGGGGTTCTCTAGATCAGATGCTATAGATCATTGTTCTCTTTTCATCATTTTGGCTTTATATTAATCATTTTTTGTCTAATAAAAGTTAGTAGCTAAGTAGACGACACAACAGTGGCGATCAGGATGAGATCGGCTGGAACGGAACTGCGACCTCATATTGTGGCTCAACCACCAGAAGGGTTTGATCTAATGGTCGATGATATTATTTTGTGGTTAGCCAGGTTCGACACTTTTGTTAGTATCTCACTGGTAGACGAGGATCATAAAGGATTCTACTTATTAAATTCACTGTCTTTCGTTGTTTATCGAGCGTTGGCGGCATTTGTGAAGTTCCTGGAGATAACTTCAATGACGTATAAAGATTTGAAGCTAAAGCTAACAGAGATGTATGAGACTAAAACGGTTCTTTTTTCTGAAAGATACCATTTTTTTTTATCTTAAACAAGAAGCAAGAAGTTATCTGGAATTTGCTACATTGATTAAAGAGAAAGCAGCGTTTTGCAAACTAGGTGATTTTTACGTGCCTGTTCTTGCCTTGGTATTCACTATGGGTATTAATGACCCACAGCTACGTGAGAAGTTTCTTGAGATAGAAAATTGCACGTTGGAGCAAGCATTAGCCATAGCGCAAAAAAAAAGGAGCAGTTCACTACGGAGGCAACTCGTATTTAAGCTTTGGGCCTTATTCAGTCTATACAAATCACTGCACAATCATCGACCAATACAACTTTCTTGCCGCAAATAGCAACCGTGGCACAATATAGACCTTGTTCGAGTTGTGGCGGTAATCATAAAAGAAAAAACTGCAAATTCAGAGAGGCTGAGTGTTATAATTGCCATCGGAAGGTCCATATTGCAAAAGTCTGTAGAGCAAGAAGCGCTACAGCAATTGGACAGAAGTTCAAATCAAATAATAATAGTTCACATACTGCAGCGAGTCCTTAAAATAAGTCAAACCCAACACGTGGTGCGTCAAGGCAGAAAACAAGTAAACAACGAGTAAATCAAGTTTTGGGAAATTCTGAGACAGGTCTACTCTTTCTTACCTTGGAAATTAATGCACATATGATAACAGTACAAAT